CTCAACAAGGCTCTTTTAACTCCAGGTTCTGCAGCCATTTTCACCCAAGCTAGAGGGACAGTGGCACAGTGTCCCTAGGGGCACATCAGAATGCATCTGATTGGTGTAAACATAGTCCTTCATTTGCATAAAGGTCTACTGTGATTTGTATAATCACTCTTATCATACACATACCTGTTTGCAAATACTACACACAGCTTTATGACTATATAAACTGTTCTTTTCAAGTCAGCCAGGAATCACCCTGTTTTATCACTTGCTGGTGTTGCAACAATAGGTGTAATATGGGTCTTGTCTCAAATGGTCTTTTGTTCTTTCTTGTTTTGTGACGGAGATTGAAGCCAGGGTCTTGAGCATACTAAACAAGTGCTCTACCTCTAGAACCATATCCAGTTCTACTCTTAAACAAACACATCCTCTTCCTTTAAAAGAGTGTCTTGCTGGCTTTGTTCTGACTGAATTTCCAATCCTGCCTGAACTTCCCCAGTAGCTGGAATTATACACATGTGCTGCTATCCATGGCCCAAATATTCTATTCTGCTCTTACTTTTTATCTTTATCATTAGTAGAGTGGGCTGAGCTGGTAACAGAGTCAAGGTAGAAGCTTCAACAGAGCAGAAAAAGGGGGCAAGGGCCAACAGTAGCTGTATTGGCAAGAAGCAGCTGAAGAGTTTCAGAGAATAGGATAGAAATGACAAGGCATAAGTAGCAGATTCAATGAAAGATGGCAGGAGTAGAGAGCAAAGTGTGAGCAGATAGAGTTGAAGAAAAGTCTATGAGAAGCCAGAGGAGAAAAACTTCAGACCCTGGCATTGAAAGGGTTCCAGAAAGCTGCCAACTTTTAATGTCTTAGACACCAGTAGGCCCAATAATGAAAACACTAGGGGAGTGAAGCATTAGTTTCTGCACCTAAGAGCTATTACAGCAGTAGGCTCAGAGTAATAAGCCTCTAAACTGAGCACATAGAGCTCAGGTCCATCCATAGACCCTCAGCTCTCAGGGCTAGTAACTGTGAGCCTCTGTGTCTGCCAGTCCAACCATTAAACCTCAAGTATGCAAGGACCCAGAACTGTCAGCAGTAGAAGAGTTTCTTGCCTACTCACGTTTTTTATCTGGGTAAAGCAAAAGGACCCCTGGAACGATTGTAGATTCGGTTTCTCCCCCCCCCCCGCCCCCCCTCCACACACACACACACACACACACACACACACACACACACACACACACACACACACACACAGCCTTCTCTTCTCTTTAGTGTGGGTTACTTGAATTCCTGTAGCTGGCCATGAACATAGTGTATTCTCTCCCACACCCTCCTCCAGCCCATTAAGGCAGGTGTAACAGACAAGAACACTGCCTAGAGAAGTACACATTATTCCTCTCACTGCCTCCCCACTCCAACTTCCAAGAAGCAGCTGTTTTTATGGACAAACCCAGACGTCTGCACGTCAGGGTCAGCTGCTTAAATGAAAGCTCAGGTTCAGGGCCCAGCCAGCACTGACTAATGTTAAACCCCAAGTTTTATTCTTTCTGGAGAAGGAGGTCATAAAGTAATAAGCAAATCACCACTTACTTTTATGCATTTTCAAACATATAACGGGAAATTGAGCCCAAAAGGCGGTAAGTCAAGAGGGTTTGAGTAAAAACTCTACTTTATAGTGTAGTGTTGGTCTACACTTATAATGCCTTTGACCACTTCACTTTGCTCTTCTGAACTCACTTTTCATTTCAAATTTGAACACATGAGCCACGCATAGGTGGCTCTTGCCTGTAATCCTAACTACTCAAGAGGCTGAGATCTGAGGCTTGCAATTCCAACCCAGCTGGGTCTGAAAAGCCTCTGAGATTCTTTTTTGGGGGGTCTGGTTGTGGGCCTGAACTCTGGGTCTGGGTGCTGTCCCTCAGCTCTTCAGCTCAAGGCTAGTACCCTACCACTTGAGCCACACACCACTTCCAGCTTTTTCTGCTTATGTGGTGCTTAGGAATCGAAGCCAGGGCCTCATGCATGCAAGGCAAGCACTCTACCACTGAGCCACCTTCCAAGCCTGCCTCTGAGATTTTTAATTCCAATTAGCAACCAAAAAGCTGGAAGTGGATCTGGGGTTCAAGTGGTTAAAAAAAAATTAGTTCACTTTACTGACTATATGCCAGTAGAGGGTTATCTCCCATAAGTATTGAATGTCAAGGTATTGCGGAAGAAGGATTAAAGAGGAAAAGACATTAGGAGATTAAGTAGAGGCTAAGATTCTTTCAGAGGATAAGTAGGAGATAATTTCAGCTTCCAGAAAAGAAATGGTAAAAATCTGATATGTGGTTCTGGTGAGGTGTGAAATGAAGGTAGCAAATAGCTATGAGAGACTGTCTGGAAGATGATAGGAAATGTGGCCTTCTGTTGCACCCAAACTCCTAAGAACCAGAAAAGAATTCATGTCTTGTCTCCTTTGTTTTTTAAATTAGCTCTGAAAAGTTTGTATTATTCCAGCCCAGTTATTTAGATGAGATTCCGAGGCACCGAGAACAATTTGCCCAAAGTCACAGTGCTTAGGAATGCTTAAGGAAAAGAAGAACATTGTTCAGAGATTTAATATTTTCATCTGTATAACTATGAGCTGAGATAGATGGGGAGGACTGGTGAAACAGCATCGTTGGGTAGGAAGATGCTTTAGAGCAGGAAAACTGCAAAGCTTCCTTAAAGGAGATTTGTGGCTGGGTAAGCCTATCATTTAAGGCTCCAGAGCCCAGATTAGAGGCGTCTGAGAAGAGATCAGAGATCTGGGATGATAAAAGCTTCTATTTTCTGAAAGCCCAAGAATGTCCAATCTCCAGTAGCATGAAGAGTAAACCTCATCAGATTTCAGCTTGAAGGAGGAGAAACTGGATTTGTGAACCTGGAAGACATAGGGCTGGTGGAGAAGAAAGGAAATTGGTGCTGGAATGGAAGAGTTTCTCATTTCTACAAACATGAGAACTCTGTAAACTGAGTTTGTAGTACAGATACTACAGGGGAGGGGAGGGAGTATGGGAAATGTGGTAAAGAGAGCCAACCTCCAGGTTCTTTACTAATCCAAATATTTTTTTCAGCCTGTGTTTGTTAATTATCTCAGGTTGCCAGTTTTACGATCTGGAATATCTGTTTCTTTGCTACTCTTCCTCTCCCAAAAGTAAGAAAGTGGGAGTAATTAGATTGAAGACAAAAAAATATTAAAAATGAATTCTATTTCAGAATCCTTTATAACCTAATAATAACAAAATGTCAGAAACTTGAAAGTTACACACAACCCTTTGAAACTAAGGTCCCTTTGGAGCTAAAAATCTGATAAGGAATATAAAAGTTTTCAAACATGCAAGCACTATTAAACATTTTACATAGGCCTGTGGTAAGGGAAAGGAAAGTGGAGTTTGGAAATCAAAGAACATAGATAATTGATGAGATTAAAGTGAGATTTTTCCAATTACAAATGATCATGAATTTAGGATTACAGTTAATTCAAACATGAGCACTTGAGGAAAGAAAAAAGAAAAAAAAAGCTCTAATGTAGAGGAAACTCATGGTCAGACTTCCATTGAGAGTAACTATGCTAATTTATGTCAGAAATCTAGAAGTCCCTATGGTTGAAGGACTACATTTATCAACTCATTTATTCCAAAAGACAAGGAACAAGTGTTGTAAATGACTACTAAATGGATGGGTGTTTATGTCCTGGTTAAAAGGTAAAACATCTTTATTCTGAGATGACTTTGCCTTTCATTTCCATAATTTATCTTGAGCCCTTTGGTTTCTAGGGTTAAGGGGAGTGTTTGCAACTTCCTGAAAAAAATATAATTATTTCAAAATACAAAATTTTAAAAGTTATTTACCTTTTTTAAAGTACTGTGTTCAGAATAAGAGAGTGTCCTCAAAAAAAAAAAAAATGGCAGTATTTTCCAGCCTCTACCTCATGTATACAAGCTTAGTGTGTAAGAAGATTGCACCCAGGCTGGATACCACCTTTCCTTTTAACTTTTGCCAATCTGATAAACATAGGATACATCTTTTCTTAGTCATACTTCTTTGATTATTGGTGAGAGAACATTGTATCCTACCACAGAAGCCACTTGATTTCCTGTCTGGTTCTCATTTTTCTGATTTTCACTGATTTATAAGCCCTTGAAAGCAATTACATAATAAATATATTAATGTGCTGATATATACTGTGCCTACCCACCCCCTTTCTTCCCACCTCTCCCAAATAGATCCTAGGTGGTCTCTCTTTTATTAAAAAATTAAAATAAAATATTAGCTGGGCACTGGTGGCTAATCCTAGCTACTCAGGAGTCTGAGATCTGAAAATCATGGTTTAAAGCCAGCCCAGGTAGAAAAGTCCCCATGAGACTCTTCTCTCCAATTAACCACCCAAAAATCAGAAGTTGTGTTGTGTCGTAAAGTGATAGAGCACTTGCCTTGAGCAAAAGAGCTCAGGGACACACCAAGGTCCTGAGTTCAACCTCTACAACCGACAAAATAATAAAATAAAGCAAAATAAATATTGGGTATAATACTTAATACTTGTATTTTCTGTTGTTTTTTGGTTCGTTTTGCTTTGCGCATCAAACTTGGGATCTTTAGCATGCTAAGAAAACACTTTTACTCAGCTACATTCTTAACCTTAGAAATGGTATTCAGAATGTCTATGTGGTGTCTTTTGTAGAAAAGTCTGGGAGAAGGCATTACATCTAGACAGTTCCATCCACTCAGGAAAGATACACAATAGTCCTGAAAGACCTAAGAAGGCTAATATAAATTCTGCCAGATTCTCATGGCACCGGTGAGCACTGAGTGTACCTGGGGGTGTGAGTAGGTGAAAAGATGACTTGAGTTTTCTGGTTGTCACACATCAGGAATCTTTGCTGCCCTGTCATTGGTCATAGGGGCTTTCATTAGTCTCTGCCAAGCATCAAAAGTCGGTGGAGGTACACAAAGAACTCAGGGCTCAGACTAGGGATCTACAACACTAGTCATGACGGCAAAGTTAAGAGCCTCCTACCTTTTCCTCCTTCTTCTACCTGGCTTCTCTGGCTTGACAAATTCCAAGCCAGAGAAGATGAAGGTGAGTAAGCTGCAGAGAGGGGAGCTGCAGGTTATAGTGTGGTTACCCTTCTGTCCTGCTTCATCTAGATCTCAACCTGCAGTCCTTCTTGCAAGATCCTTAGCTGTTTTCTTCCTCCTTTGGGTTTCATAAACCTCTCCTCTCTTTTAATCTTCTTCATGCCTATATTGGTTGTTCCTTGAATATAGGTAGAGAAGAAAGGATCTTTTTTGCAGTGAGATCCTTTCTCTGCTCCTTCTCCAAATAGAGGCCACCTAGATACCTACTCCCCTGCTATGCCAGCTGGGTCTGAGGGACTGGGGTTTGGAGGAGAAGATGAGCCAAGTCATCTCAGACACAAATGATCATGCATTGAAGGTTTCTTGATGGCAAGAAAAAAGTGAATGTAGAAGTTGTAGAGTTAAAGTCATAGAGACATCAGAGATCCATAAAAGCCATGGGGACAAATAATCAGAGGACTAAAACAACTGGAATTGGAGTCAGATGTCTCGTGGTATGGTGTCAGTTCTATTCCCACACTTTTAATTGTTTTATTGATAAAATGTGTGCTTGTGACAGTAGAAGGCAGTTCAAGGTAGGATCATAATGAATACGATGACTTAGAGGCAAAAAGGAATCGAGAAGTTAGAAGCAATTCACATAGTGAATTCTCTCTTTGTGTTCTGGTAGAAAGTTACCCATCACTAATTTATGGGTAACAATACTTTCTTATTATGCCACGATTATTATGCATATAACATGTTCTACAAAAAGGCAGCTTTGGGAATATTTTCACCCTGCTCTGAAATTAACTAGAAATTTATACCAATGTCGAGTTGTTGTTACTAATGATATAATAATGTTAAAACATCTTCCAGATGGATTGCTACAAAGATGTGAAAGGCACCATTTATGACTACGAGGCCTTCAGTATTAATGGGAATGAACGTATTCAGTTCAAGCAGTATGCTGGCAAGCATGTCCTCTTTGTCAACGTGGCTACTTTTTGTACTCTAACAGCTCAATATCCTGGTAAGAAGTCAGAGCTCTACGTCTTTGGGACAACATTTGTGATTTATATTCTAACTCACACTTGGTTTTATGTTCTAATTGTAATCACATGCCAAAATTAATACTAATAATTTGGGTGACTTCACCCTTTGATGTCAGAAGTCAGCCAAAGATCAGGTATTGGTGGCAGATGTCTGTAATCCTAGCTGCTCAGGAAGCTGGGATTTGAGGATTGAGATTAGAAGTCTGCCTGGGAAGATAAACCTAAGAGATTATCTTTTTTTTTTTCTTTTTTTTGTCGGTTGTGGGGCTTGAACTCTGGGCCTGGGTACTGTCGCTGTGCTCTTCAGCTCAAGGCGAGCGCTCTACCTCTTGAGCTACAGTGCCATTTCCAGTTTCCTAGTGGTTTATTGGAGATCAGAGTCTCACGGTCTTTTCTGCCCAGGCAGGCTTTAAACAGCGATCCTCAGATCTCAGCCTCTTGAGTAGCTAGGATTACAGGCATGAGCCACCAGCACCCAGCTTGAGATTATCTTTAATTAACCAGCAAAAAGCCAAACATAAAGGTGTGGCTTAAGTGGTAGAGCTGTAGCCTTGGCCAAAAAACAAAATATGCTAAGTGGAAATTCAAGGACCTGAGTTCAAGCCCCAGTACTGACACACACAAAAAGACAAAAAAGATATTAAAAAAATACTATTTATTTGAGGTTTTTAATGATAGTGTGTTTTGCAGAAATGAAAAAAAACCTTTTGCTCTCTTCCCTTCTTTCCAACCAATGATATTTATAAAATATTCCTTTTCTGCTCTCTCCCTGTTGATAACATACAACAACTACTTCTTGTCTTGATTTTTTTAATTGACCAAGATACTCTATGCTTTTCCTTTTGGTTCTTATTTGTTTTTAGTTTTTGAGACTCTGTAGCCCAAACTGGCCAGGAGCACATGCTCCCCTTGCCTCAGTTTCCCTAGTATTGGGATTACAGGTATGTACTATTACATCCAGTAATAAAACACTTTTGAGTTCAGTCCATTCCCTCATTCTTTTAAAGCCTCTAATGCATCCTGATTATCCTGAAGATGTTTGAACAGCATCAGGAAGCTCCACTTGAAATTTCCCTGTTTTGCCTCTGCTCTCTGCTCAGAGCAAGCCAGTCTCCTTGACACTGTCTTTTCCTTTTAGGAAAGGAAGACTCAACCTATCAATTAACCAATCAGAGAAGGAAAACTGATGAGCAGTGATGTTCCAACCCTGCTTTGTCTAAAACTCACTGGAGTTTTGAGTAATAAAAATGTTCTGGGCCCCCTCGCAGAGGAATGGGGTCAGAAACCTCTCTAAAATGGGGACTTGGGCATTCCTGATTTTAATGATGAGTCTCTAGGTGATTACAGTATACTGCACCACAGTATAGGGCTGTAGAGAGTCTGTCTGTAGGCCTAGTATCTAACAGCCATGCCACTCACAGCCTGATCTAGAAATGTCTCCCCCTCCCCTTCCTTCTCTGTAAAATGAGTCACCCCAGGGATCTTTGTCTACACTGAGGGTCATAGGCCATGCTATCCCTTTTCTAACTGCAGAACTGAATGCACTCCAGGAGGAGCTGAAGCCCTTGGGCCTAGTAGTGTTGGGCTTTCCCTGTAATCAGTTTGGAAAGCAAGAACCAGGAGAAAACAAGGAGATTCTTCCTGGGCTCAGGTAAGTGCCTGCTTGGAATCCAGTAGGAAGCTACTTGTCCACTTGTCCTGTTTCCAGAGGTCCTTCCATCTTGGGAACCTTCCAGCTAGGAGTAGATTTAATAGGCTCAAGGTTATCTGCAAGTTGATTTTAACTATGGCCTGTGTGCTGCTGATGTCTCTGATTATGTCCAGAGATTCTCTCTCCGTCTCTGGCTGACACCTGAGTGGACGGTAGAAATCCAGAGAACAGAGGTACTTGGCACAGAGAAAAACAAAGTGAATCAAGAAGCCCAGAGTCCCCGCCTACCCTTATTCTCCTCCCTCCTCCCATCTCCCATCTCAGCCCCTCTCTGACCTTTCAGCGACTTTCAAATCCCTGGGTCCCATTACAATCACTTGCCTCCTGGGAACATTTGGCTTGTTGCAGGTATATCCGGCCAGGGGGAGGATATGTACCTAATTTCCAGCTTTTCGAAAAAGGGGATGTGAATGGTGAAAAAGAACAGAAAGTCTTCACGTTCTTGAAGGTGAGTGAATTACCACCCCTCCTTTCCCTTATGTTCTTGTCTGTTTTTGGAGATAGTCATGCATTGAAACCCAAACTGGCTTTGAACTCACTCTGTGGCTCTGGCCATCCTTCTACTTCAGCCTCCCAAGTGCTGGGATTACAGGCACATACTATCATACACAGCTCTCCCCTAATAGTCTTAGCACAGAATTGGTATGATGTGGCTAGGATTACAGGAATATGCCACCACATGCAACTTTTCTCTAACATTCTTAGCAGCTGATGTGGTGGACTGGACCCTTGGGATGTTGCCTGGAGCTGGAATTATTAATGTGGATAAAATCTCCAGATCAGCATGATGACTCGCATTTAATGTTAGCCTTCATGGCATAGTGTGGAGTAGCAATCTCTTGCCCTTTAACACTCATTCATTCATTTAAGGAATATTTAACGTGCTTGCTATGTATAAGGCAAACTAAATAAAAAGAATATTAACATGAAAAATTCAGTCCAGTCCTAGAGGAGATTATCCTAAAGAGAGAGCTAGAAATTCATAAATACAACATCATGTAGTGGGTACCTCATTTAACATTGACTTTTAGACACAGACTTTGCCAGCACGGAAAAGGCCCCAAAGATAACTAGCGTGAAGTATACCTAAATACTGGACGATGAACCAATACCAGTGCACTGGTAACGTTTTCCTATATCCTTAGTAGGTTGAAGAAAATAGAACAGTGAGAAATGGGGGCTCAGAAAGGACTGGGGGTATGCCTCGAATGATTGAGCACCTCCCAGGCTTGACCCAGAGTTCAAATCCCAGTACCTTTGGAAAAAGAAGGAAGGTATCATAAACTAAAGACTTCTAACTTATAAGGCTGCCCTTACCAGATTACAATGTTATCATGTATAAGAGTGTGTGTGTGTGTGTGTGTGTGTGTGTGTGTGTGTGCACTCATGAGTGTATTACTTTGTGCTTGCTAGGCAAGTCCTCTTCCACTTGAGCTACACCCACTGCTCATATTGCTCTTTCTAACATTAAGTGATGTTGTCTTAAATTTTTTTCTTATTTGGTAAAATGTTAATAATTCTTAGTCATTCCCAAAAAGAAATTGATCAAAATGCTACTGACCTGGGAAAGCACATTCTAATCCAAATCAATCACTTTGTCCGAAAGAAAAATGAAAGCTGGAGAATTGACATATCTTACATGACATGATTGTATGATGGGACCCTGGAGTCAAAATCAGAAAGAGCAGATTTCAGCTCTAATATCTGCAAATTCTTGATAGTTGCCATGGTGGTAATTAGGAGAATTTACGGCATTTACTAGGAATCACAGGAAATTAACATGTCCAGCATAGAATGAGTAAAACTACGTTGGTCATCAGAGAAGAGGAATGATGTTGTTGTCTCTTTTCTGTCTCTCTCTTCAGCACTCCTGTCCTCACCCCTCTGAGACTGTAGGCTCATTGAGACATATATCCTGGGAGCCTGTAAAAGTCCATGACATCCGCTGGAACTTTGAAAAGTTTCTGGTGGGACCTGATGGAGTCCCTGTCATGCGCTGGTTCCACCGGACTGCAATCAACACAGTCAGGTTAGACATTCTGATGTACCTGAAGCAGCTCAAAACTAAACAGGAAGGATGAGTTTTGAGCAGAAGCCATCTTGCTTCCCATCTACAGACCTGTGCTGGAAAACTTCATCTTCTCATCAAACATTTTTCTAAACAGACTCCACTTGACTAAGTCACCTCTATAACTGCTGAAGTTTCTACCCTTTACCAAGTAGATAGATTTCTATTTAGACAGCTATTGATATTCCTCTTTGAAAGCATATGTGGATGAAAAATAAAATAATAGAATCCCTCTGTTAAAAGATTGAATCATGCCAGGTGCCGGTGGCTCATGCCTAGCTATTCAGGAGGCTGAGATCTGAGAATCGAGCTTCAAAGCCAGCCCCGGCAGGAAAAGTCCATGAGACTCTGATCTCCAATAAACCACAAGAGAACCGGAAGTGGTGGTGTGGCTCAAGCAGTAGAGCGCTCTCCTCAAGCTGAAGAGCCCAAGGACAGCGCCCAAGCCCAGAGTTCAAGCCCCACGACCGACCAAAAAAAAAAAAAAAGTATTGAATCATTCATAGCTACTAAAAGAAGACTATCTTTCCAGGAGAATGGCTCATATATCTCCAAGAACTCTTTAGCCATTCTGAGTCCTCCTCTTTCTACCCAGAGGATATAGAAATACTGATGAAGTTATATGATATAGCTTGTGATTCCTAACATTTTTGTTTCCTAGAAAAATTATGTATTGTCCCTTCCGAAGGCTTCATCCAGGATACTCAATACTTGTCATTCTCCCATGGGGATAAGGGAGAAGCAGAGAACATTGATTCACCTAAAAGGAAGGCATTCCCATGTTGTTGAAAATGGGACTTCCTTCTGTTTAGCCTTATAAAAATACTTTGTGTTAACTTACTACCTGATCTTTTAGCATCTTCAGGTTATGACTTCTGGATATTCTTTTATCTTTGGAAAGATGAGATTTTTTTTCCCTTTAATCCAAAATGTTTTAGCTTCAGAATCAACTTGTTACTTCTCCAATAAATTGTTTTCTGCAGGATTTAAGATCTCTGTGGTAGTGTCTGTTTAAACCTATATTGCACTTGGATTCATCTTCTATTTATTTGCTTTTTACTCTTTTTTTTTTTCTTTTGTACTAGTACTAGGGGCCTATGTTCTGTTCCTTGGCTTTTTCAACCAAGACTAAAGCTGTACCACAGCACCACTTCTGGCTGGCTCTGGAGGTAAATTGGAGATCAGAGTGTCAGGCTTTCCAGTCAAGGCTAGCTTTGAGCTTTGTTCCTCAGATCCCAGCCTCCTGAGTAGCCAGGCACCCAGCTTTGAACCCAACTCCTCCTCTTGCTCAGTTTACCAGTGATGTTATAATACCCTGATTACACAAACTAACCCAGACAGAATGATTTGCCATTCCAGATATTTGGAAAGTTGTCACCTAATGATTATCAGCTGTCTTCAGGAATTGCCTCAGGCCAATTTTGTCTCTTGAGATACCTGATGCCTTTTTGTGCTTGTATTGCATCCCAGTTCTCCCCTTGGATAAACTCTTCTTCCCTTTCTAGCTGTGTATTCTATTCTCTGACCAGGATAACAACCAAATTCAAAATGGAACCTACTAACAGCCCCAGGTGTTAACCCAGAAGTAAATCGACATAGTAAGCATGCTAAATAAATGCTCCACCACAGAGCTAAATCCTCAATAACTCTTTCTTAGATTCTGTTTTGTATTTGTTTTTACTAGTTCTGGGGCTTGAACGCTGGGCCTGGGCACTGTCCCTGTGAGCTCTCTACCGCTTGAGTCACAGGGCCACTTCTGGTTTTCTAGTGGTTTTTATTGGAGATAAGAGTCTCACAGACTTTCCTGCCTGGGCTGGCTTTGAACTGCGATCCTCAGATCTCAGCCTCCTGAGTAGCTAGGATTACAGGCGTGAGCCACTGGCACCTGGCTCCTGAGCTTCTTGTGCTCAAGGCTATCCCTCTACCACTTGAGCCACTGTGCCACTTCTGCATTTTCTGTGGTATTGAGGAATAAAACCCAGGGTTTCATGCATGCTAGGAAGGTACTCTACTACTAACCCACATTCCTAGCCTTGAGTGATGAACATCTAATTATGGTGACTCCAGTGGCATGCCAAAGGGCACTGCAGGCAATGCCAAGGTTTTACTGCCCTCTAGCCTCTACAAAGGGAGAGAACATATTAAAGTTAAAGATCTCCTTAAGGAAATATATTGTGACAAACTACACCCAGACCTCTTCAAGACTCTGAGCCCTTTTGATGACTGGTTGCCAACACTTGGCCCAAATATTTGACAATTTTTTTCCTAAATTTTATATATAAAAAAAACAAAAACAACAAACCATCATAATCTCAGGCTCAGCCTTCAGGTACATAGAGAAATTACTGGTTTCTTGACTAAATAAAGGTGATGGTGGTTTTTAGAAGTTATTTTGGTAGATAATTTCCGTCCTGTTTTCCTTTCTTCAGTCTTTTTCTCATTCCTACAACTTCCTCTGGGATTTTTATCACCATTGTAAGATCATTATGCCTGTAGACATGACTAAGATTCAAGAAATGAGAAAAGGATTTGACCGGTTACAGCCTTAGAATAGGGCCTTTGTGTATGCCATTAAACTTTTTTTAATGTATTGTTATTGTAAAGGTGATGTACTGATGTATGTAACTGTAAAGAGTACATTCTTTTCAGATAGTGTCACCATCTTCTCCTCTCTCACTCTCCCAGTTTTTTCTTCCTGTCCCTACCCACAAGTTGTACGGTTCATTTTCAACATAGTGTCTAGTGAGTACCACTGCTAATTTACTTACCAAGAGGTACCATGGACTTATCAATAATGACTATTTACAGTATTGATGATAACCAGTCATCAGTTGTCTCATGGCCATGAGAGCATGTTGCTTTGTAATGTGATTTTATACTAGCTTTCCTCACAAGGTAAAGCCTATTTCTCTCCTTGTATGTTGAGTTGTCTTGTGATTTTCTTTGACCAACACAATGCTGTGCAAATCGTGTATAGAAGTGATATGGGAGTTTCAAGGTTGGGCCACAGAAGTCTTTCGATTTCCTTCTTGCCTCCCTTAAGCTTATCCTGTGAAGAAACCCCATTTAGCCTCTTAGAGGGTAGACACGCAAAGAGAAAAGGTTCCAGCCATTTCAGCCATCCCTGCCAATTTATAGGTAGCAACCCCCACACAGTGAGTTGAGATTATATTAGATCATCCGATCTAAGTTACAAAAAGTCCCCAACTAGGACCATGAATGCTGCCAGACAAATGCATTCACATGAGCAACTGAGACAAAACCCCCAACAGCACTGATCCGCTAACTGTACCCCAAATTGTTGACCTGCAGTGTTGCCAACAAGAAATAAAATTATGGGCT